GAGGAGACCAGTTGTTGGAGGTTCTGGAGGACCAGAGGAAACCAATCGTTGGAGGTTCTGGAGGACCAGAGGAGACCAGTTGTTGGAGGTTTTGGAGGACCTGAGAAGACCAGTTGTTGGAGGTTTTGGAGGACCAGAGGAGACCAGTTGTTTGGAGGTTCTGGAGGACCTGAGGAGACTAGTTGTTGGAGGTTTTGGAGGATCTGAGGAGACCAGTTGTTGGAGGTTCTGGAGGACCTGAGGAAACCAGTTGTTGGAGGTTCTGGAGGAAACGTTGGATGGGTGCAGTCTGTGGTTTAACATTGCCTTGCTGAAATATAAAAGACCTTCCCTGAATTAAAAACGTCTGGATAGGAGCAGATGTTCTAAAACCCGAACCTGTTTTTTTTTTTTACATTGATGGAGCCTGTCCAGATGTGGAAGCTGCTGATGCCAGAGGCACAAATGCGCCCCCATACCATCAGAGAGGCAGGTTTTAAACTGTGTTCTGATAACAGGTTGGTTGTTCCCTCTTCACTCTTTGTGGCGTTTGTGGTTTTTCTAAAAAAGGAATTTCTGATTTGGACCCGTCTGACTTCAGAACAGTTTTGGTTCATTTGAAGCGAGCTCTGGACCAGAGAAGACAGCAGCGATTCTGGATGGTGTTCACATCTGGCTCCTTCTTTGCCTGATAGAGCTTGAAGCTAAATTTGTGGATGAACTGTGTTTACAGACAATGATCTGTGGGAGTGTTCCTGAGCCCAGAACAGAACCAGACCTGGTTTTAATGCAGGGGCCCCTGAGGGCCTGAAGTTCAGCCTCGTCCTTTGAGCTCAGAGGTTTCTACAGATTCTGCTAATCTGGTGATGAGATTATGAGCTGCAGATGATGGAATATTTAGTCTGTTCTTGAGGAACTTTATTCTGATTTTTTTCCATATTTTTAGACAGTTTTCCAGACTGTAAACCTCTGCCCATCTTTACTTTGATGACATTCAGCCTCTAAAAGTCTCTTTTTACTCAGTCCTCACTGACCTGTTGACATTGAACATGTTTAGTTGTAAAATGTTCCTCCAGATGTTTTTTTTTTATCCTACCTCTTACTTTTACAACTTTTTTGAGATGTGCTGCTGTCACAAAAATCAAAATGACTTTTTCCTCATTGAAACATTTCACACAACTACTATGTTCCTTTGTGAACAAAATTTAGGTTAAATTACAAATCACTGCATTCTGATTTTATTTACATTTTAAAACATCCTGACTTTTGATGAACTTCTAGCACTGATGAGGGATCATAACAAGATTATTCCTGTAGAAAATTAACACATTTAAATGATGATTGTTGTCTAATTTATACAGATTTGGACCAAACAGAGGAGGTGGAGAAAAAAAGATCAACCAGACTTCAGGTGGTATTTAGGGACATAAATGAAGCATCTTGCAGGTCATGCATGTGCTGCTGCACATCTGGATAATCTGTCTTTAAGAAGACAAATGCCGTGAGTGATGCATCAGAGTCGGAGCAGTGGGGCAAGTAGGCAGTGGGGGGGATCTCCATCAGCTTGGAGGCGCCAGGAGAGGGTGGGGGTGCAGATTTCTGGAGGATTCTGCAGGAATCATCTGAGAACACCCCGTTTACTGTGGGGTGCTGTTTGTTCCTTATAGCTGCTTAGCTCCGATGTGAAGACTGGAGGCTCTCAGGGTGAGTTTGTCTGCAACTGTTTCAACACGAAAGCTGTTTTTATCCCCACCAGAACCTGTAGCAATGCTCTTTTCTCTGGACGTGTTGGGTCGGGTTGACATGTCTCAGCACGTCTGATTTCTTATCCGTCGCTACGCTAGCAGCTAACGGTAGCTAACAGAAAAGCTTCGCTAACCGTAGTAAATAAAATAATACCATAACTAAATATATCACTCAAAGACCAAAGCAAGCGAACAATACGCCAGTTTTAGCTTTAGATCAGACAACTCAAATTATTTTATTATCGGCTGCTACATAGCTTTAGCTCGACGGCTAGTTAGCTTTAGCTCGACGGCTAGTTAGCTTTAGCTCGACGGCTAGTTAGCTTTAGCTCGACAGCTAGTTAGCTTTAGCTCGACAGCTAGCTCACAGCCGGTCCGTTTGAGAACAATGCAGACAAGTCAAGGTTTAACTAATGCCACTGACGAGATGTCAACACATACAAATGGGCTCAAAATGTTTTCGGAACAGTGAGAATCTGCTGTCACTGACCCGGTTCTTTAGTCCCGGCAGAGGCGTAGCTTTCCCTTGACAGTAAGGGGGGCCCTCAGCTGGGGGGTACCACCATTAGGTTTAGGTTTATTGTCATATGCAGATCAACACAAGGTCAACAATGTAATGAAATGCTCAGGACGAGAAGAACCGTCTCGACTTGCCAAAACAAACAAACAAACAAGAAATACCAAAGCATGCAAAAAAATACAAAAACAAGGCACCTAAAGTTAAAAAGAAATACAATACAATACAACTTTATTTATTAAAGCACTTTAAAACAACACCGTTGGCCAACGTGCTAACACATACAAGCATTAAAAACTATGAACTCAACAAATACCATAATAACCACAAATACATCTACGGCAGCATGGTCCTATTAGCAGAGTGCTTCTGTTGGCAGTGAAGTTCTCTTAGCATCATGGTCCCATTAACAGCATCCCATTAGCATGGTACTGTTAGCAGCACGGTCTCGTTAGCAGCATGCTTCTGCTAGTCACGAGGTTCTTGCCAGATATTCCACTTTGCACTGCATTTAAAAAATAAAAAAAGAAGCATCGTCAGAGTCAGAGCTTCTTTATTGTCATTCACACCTCATGTGGTACATGTGGTGGAGTGAAATTATGTACACAGGGTCCCAGTTACATCCAACAATAAAATGTATAAGAAAAACAGTAATAACATCTAAGATATGAACTAAGAAAAACATCAACTAAATATACACAAAGCACTCATAACATAAAAACATTGAACATCAGCACAAACATGAACATGAGTCTGTGAGCAGATGTGCACGCATGAACACATCAACATTGAAACAGATCAGCAGCAACATGAAACAGATCAGCAGCAACATGATGTGATTTTTCACAGTGATTATTCTAGTTAGAGATTCATGAGTCTAACAGCCACAGGGTAGAAGCTGTTCCTCAGTCTAGTGGTTCTACACTTAATGCTCCTCAACCTCCTTCCTGAGGGGAGCGGGGCAAAAAGTGTGTGTGCTGGGTGAGTGGGGTCCTTCATGATGCAGGTAGCCCTCTTCCTGCATCTAGAGGTGTAGATGTCTGTGATGGTGGGGAGGCTGACTCCGACAAAGTCTTCTGTGCAGCCTTCTTCTGAGTTTTCCGATAGAAAAAGTCATGTTTCTGACATAAATGTAAAAACTATGAATAAAAAATATGGTAGGTGCAGTCGGTCGACTGTTAAAAGTCTGATGTTTGACTGTTAGAGGCCGGCTGGTCGACTGTTAGATGCCAGTTGGTCGACTGTTGGAGACCGGTTGGTCAACTGTTAAGGGCCGGTTGGTCGACTGTTAGAGGTTGTTTGGTTGACAGAGACCGGTTTGCCAACTGTTAGTCCGGTTGGTCAACTGTTAGAGGTTGTTTGGTTGACAGAGACCGGTTTGCCAACTGTTAGAGGCCGGTTGGTTAATTGTTAGATTCCGGTTGGTCTACTGCTAAGGCTCCAGTATACTCGCGCGTCCTGTCAGCCGTGCGGAAACTGTGCGCATTGTCCGCACTGTCAGCAGATGGTAGAGACTTTATACTGAAACATCCACCCTGGGCAGCTGCAGAGCAGCTCTGCAGGAAAGGGCCATTTACATTCGGGTCAAATTGAGGTCGCCGATTGGTCATTTGCTGACACGCCTACTGGATTAATTGACAAGCTGTTTGGTCGACTGTTACAGGCTGTTTGGCTGACTGTTAGAGGCCAGGTGTGTGTAACAAATTGTTTCCTTTACTAGTCACAGAGTTGCTTTGTGTCTTGAACCTGTTTCAGTTTAGTTTCTGTAAATTAAAATGCACGTGAGCTGTATTTTAACCTCAGCACAGGAGCTGTCCAGTATCACTGAAGACATCCAAAGCTACAGGCTTGAATGACTTTGAATGTCTATGTCTACAATGAATAAAATATGCCCATGATAAATTATAATTAACCATATTCTGCATATTTTCTTTTCAAAAGTCTTAAAGTAGGGTCAACTACTAAGGTGGGTACAAAGTGGGTGGAGGTAGGTCTGATTTCAGAGATGGAATGATATGCGTGGCCAGCTGCTTGCCTAACTGGTCGCATTAGTAATGGTGTTAACAGACACAAGACAGAACAATGACGTGAGCAAGTAAGGTTTACATTCAAAGTCTCAAGAACGTGTGCATGTTCTGCAATGCAGTGTGTCAGGATGCTTTCCACCGTGCGCCGATGGAAGTTTTTGAGTAGATTCTGTGGCAGACTGACTCTGCTCAACTTCCTCAGGAAGTCGAGGCGTTGCTGTGCCTCACCAGTGATGAGGGAAGTGTCTCATCCAGGCGTGGTCCTCAGTGATGTAAACATCCAGAAACCTGAACAACCTTCAAATTCCAGAACAAACAGGCAAATATACCTTTAAACTTGAAATCTTACATTACTCCCTTAAATTTTAGGGAGTATTTATATAAGACCATTATCAGGTTTGGGTGATGGTAGTTTGGATCAGCTGTGGGGATTTTCTGTCATATCTGGGTGTTTCTAAAGGAAAGAAAAATGCCGCAGTTCAGAGATCACAACTCCGTCTGTGTGTTTGTGTTTCTGTGTTTGTGTCATGGATAAACTTGTTTGCCACCAAATCGTCAGTGGTTGTATGAGCTCATGATTCATACATTTCGAGTATAAATAAAGACCATGTGTTGAAGAAAAAACAACCCACTTGTTTTCCTCTGCAGGGTTGTGCTTTTCTTTCATAGGTTTATACGACTGACCAGTGTTGAGAATAAAAACACTCATCATGAACTGAAATAATGTTATATATGTTTAATGTTTACGTTTCAGATCCAATGACTGAAATAGACTGAGTCCAACCCCTCACTACAAAAATGTCAAGTAAGAAACTGGAAGTATTTTCCGTTGTACTGTTGAGTATTTGATGGTATTTAAGTTTATATGTAGCTAACCTGCTGTTTCAGTGAAACCATCTGATTGATTATTACCAAAATAAATGTTTATTAAATTATATTTTATTGAAGTCATGCGCATGAGTCCACTGGAAGATGTTATCCATCTTCCAGTGGACTCATGCGCATTACTTCAATAAAATATAATTTAATAAATATTTATTTTGGTAATAATGGGGTTCAATCAGATGGTTTCACTGAAACAGCGTTAGCTACAACAATCTTCTTCACTAAATTGATGTTGGGAGTTTTATTCTCTTTCATAACAGAAAGGCCCTACGCCCCCCCGCCTCCCCCTGCCCCTACAACAGTAAGTATTTTTACATGAAATTACAAACACGATGGGTACCTCATGTTAAAGTTGTGGTGCTGTTTGTTTAGTTAATTTCTGTTCGGTTTGCTTCACAGAAAATATTTTTTACAGGTAATCATTATGTTGTTGAACCCCTATTTTTGACTTACATTCTTTCGCGGTTTTTCTAAGTAAGACTGGACATGACACACAATTGGCTGATTGATGGATGAGCCGCATGACCGGCATGAATTGTTTATTTAAAATAAATCATTTTAAATTATTTAGCGCCTGCTGCACATGTGTGCAGCCCACAGGTGCAGGGAGGAGCTCTCTCCTGCAGCATCATGATTTCCGCTCACAGCCACACCCACTTCACTGCTGCAGAGAAATGGGCGTGGCCATGAGCACTGGCAGGTGGCAGAGAGCAGAGATCATGACATGCTGTACTACTACTTACTACTACTACTACTCTTTGAACTACTATCCCTACTTGGCGGTTTTTCACTTATCATGGGGTGGGGCAGGGTCTGTGAACTGAACCCCCTCGATAAACGAGGGACTACTGTATTTGTTTTTAACATTCTCAGCAGGATTATAAATGATAAATTTATATATTTTTTCTGCTTTTATCATTAGTTAGACACTAATGCACCCACTTTACAATCTTTGTCCGTTTTCAAGTGCCATGGTTTTATACAACGATCATTTTTAGTAGCGGCACATCGTACAACTTAGATTTAGCAAAAACCAACAACAGCAGCTTCAAAATTTCAGAAATTTTCTACTTTTTTTTTTTAGCTTTGTATGAGTGGCGTTTGTTGTGAAACTCTCCTGACTTCCTCTTTTTATGTTTCTGTCTCAATTGTTTCCATCAGCAAATTTCCAACAGCACAGGGTTTGTGGGCTACAACCCGTACAGCCATCTGGCCTACAACAACTACAGGCTGGGAGGGAGCCAGAGCACCAACAGTCGGGCGACGGTACGAATATTAACGAAGTGAAAACATCAATATGTTTATCAAATGAAAGTCACGTCTGTCGTTAGTTTCCCTTTCAGTAAAAATGTTCAGTCAGCTGAAGTCAATCTGTACTAGCAGCCGGAGAACAGCACATTTATTGGGGCCTGCCGTTAAAAAAGCATCCGCCTCCGATGCTTTCCAATAGAGGCCCCATCTTTATCTTGCTCAATGTGGCCCAAACGGACGAGCGCACTTGCACAAATGCACCAAAACGAACAACTCGGTGACAGAATGCACGCGGTTACTTTTAATGGAGTTTGGATTCAGCGTGACGATGTAATTTCCCCAAAAAACAGCATCTAAAAAAACCCATTAGAAAAAAAAAAACACAGAATGATAGCAAGCAAACTGTTCCTGCCCACATATGTTTTATAGTACAAATTCAAATTAGTCATCAAAATACAGGTATTTATGTCTTTCTGTTTTTGCAGTAGGACTTTTGTTTTTTGTCAAATACCCCCAGAGAGCAGAGAGTCCTCATCAGATCCCATTCAATTCATATTAAATTAGTAATTTGACTGTCCCTTTGACTGGGGTGGTAGAAGTGTTTATATTTGTTTAACTTTGACATAAAGCACTGTGACAGTTTTTAATTTACATGAGTGAGATCCAATCTCTCCATTCACTCACGGTTCAAGAATATTTTCAATACACCTTATAGTTTTTGCTTAGCAACTGTTAGTTTGACGCAAACTTTAAAAAAAAGTTTCTCCCTGTTTTAATCCAGGCACGACTGTTGTCTGCCCCGCCCCTTCTGTGTTCCCTAAAGAGGGCGGGAAATTCTGGCTTTCTGATTGGCTGAGACAGTTTTCCTTGTACTAGGCTACAGTAAAAAAATAAATAAATAGCTGAGGTGGGCGGAGCCTCTTTATATCCTTGGCAACCAAGTCTTAACAGCTGGTTTGAGGTTTACTAGCTTTAAATTAAACTTTAGGTATTTTCTTTCTCGTGCTTTCATCTTGTCTGACACCATAAAAAGTATGTCTTGCATTATTACATCATATCCTCTTGTTAGCAAAATATCTCAATTAAACTACTTGACAGTTTTTATTAAAGCTCTTAGAAAAAGATGTAAGAAACTGCCTTGTTTACAGAAACACAGTGGGAACACTGAGAGCTGATCGACTGCTGAAATTTGCTGAGAAATTCAACTGAGTTGTTAAGCTAAAAGGACACTAGCTAAAAGCTAAAAGATGTAAAATGCTAACTGAAACCCCAAAGTAGCTCAAGGTTAACTAAAAGCCAGAAGTAGCAAAAGACTAAAACACAATTAAAAGGTAAAAAAAATAAAAAGTCAGTGAGCTTTCTAAAAGCTAAAGTTAGCAGAATGGTAGTTAAATGCTACAAGTGGCAAAAGCTTAGCTAAAAGCTTAAAGTAGCAGAATAGTAACTAAAACCTGAGTGTAACAAAACACTAGCTAAAAACTGAAATAAGTAAAATGCTAGTTAAAAGCCAAAAGTAGCAATATAGTTAAATGCTGAAAGTAGCAAAAGGTTAGCTAAAAGTAGCAGAATGTTAGCTAAAAGCTGTGTGGATCAAAACACAAGGTAAAAGCTAAAATAAGTAAAATGCTAACCAAAAGTAACCAAATACTAAATCAAGGCAGCAAAATCCAATAAAAAAGTAATATAGTTTAGTTAAAAAACAACTAGATGGGTAGCTAAAAGCAAACATTAGCAGAATGGGAGTTAAAAGCTAAATGTAGCTAAATGCTAGCTAAAGCTACAAGTAGCACGAAAAGACAAAAACAAAACCAGTCGCTGAAGTAGATTTGAAAGAAAATGTTTGTAAAGGAATTAACTGTATTTCTATGGGTAAAATATTTTGATGCGTGTAAAAGCCGCAGCGCCCGCCTCCTGAACGAGCTGAAAGTTTTGAGTTAAAAAATTAAATATACAGCACAATCTGCAGACAAATATGTCAAAAATTGTACACAAAAACAGGTAAACGATAAAAATGCCGAATCAGTCAACCCAATTCAAGATGGCCGCCACAGCCAAACACCCCCTCTGAATTTCTCCAGGTTTGTTTGGGGCTGTAGAAACGTGTTGAGGTGTTTCTTCTCCGCGGCTGAATTTAAGATGCAGATTGTTTCAAACCCTCAGAGAGTCCGTCTGTTCAGAGTTTCTGACGGCCATGTTGATGAACCCGTGGCTCCGGCGTTGCCATGGCGACGGCGGCTGCTGCGCGGTAATGCGGTCGCTGCGTGCAAGCTGTGGTCGGCTGACTCCGGTAATGGCTTCATGTCTCGCAGACGGAAAATCCCAGCTTAAAACCAGCTTTTTGTTTAAATTTCTCTGTGGGGCTCCTGGAATTTGTTCAACACTGAACTCTTTTAAATTTAATTATTTTGTCTGAAGAGATTTAAAAAAATGCTGCTAATCAAAAATATAAAGGCTTAAAACACAGTCTGTGACTGCGTTCAGCACATCGGACATTTAAAACGAAGTTATAAAGTTTATTTTTGCTTTTTATTCACCTAAACCAAAACATTTCTAGCTCTTCCACCATAATGCCCCATACACTGTGCAAAAGTTTTAAACCATTTCTAATCATCTCCACTGAAGATGAGAGGCCGTCATGATCTTAACCATGTCTGTTGTAGCGTTAGCAAAGTTTCTCGTGAACAAGCGGATGGATTTAAAAGAAACTGTCAGAAAAATCTAAAACTTAACATTTGGAGTTAAGCCAATTCAAGATGGCCTCCACAGTTAATGGGCCTTCGTCAGCCTAAAGTCGTTTATACACATGTGGAGCAGGTGTGGTAGTAGCTGAGAGTTATCCTCAACACATACCTGATCACTGACACCTCTCACACATTGAGTAGCATGAAAAGTGGCGGGCGACGTGCATTCCTTCAAGAAATGCTTGTTGTTTTTCAGCCCATGTGTCTGAAACGAGCTGCTTGGGTTCATAAAGATGCAGGAAGTGTACCGTATTTTCTGGCATATATGTCGCAGTTTTTTGCGTAGATGTGTCACTCCTGCGACTTATATACGTTTTTTTTTCTTCCATATTCATAATGAAATGTTTGACTGACTTTAAATTTCGAAGAACTGCAACAGCGAGTCCTCCCGTGCACGCTCGCTTCACTCAGCTGGTGCAGGCGGAGGAACGCTGGAGAGCTAGCAGCTCCGGCTGCGATGGATGGATGGATGGATGGATGGCGCCGCGCTGCCCAGGCGAAATGAAGCTGTTTTAACCATTAAATAAAGGCGACGGGTCAGAGGTGACTCATAAATGTGACATACGCCAAAGTGACATATATGTTTTTTTTTCCTCTTCATGATGCTTTTTTTTTTGGCCGATGTGACTTATACTCCGGAAAATACGGTAGTTTCTTTCAGCTTCTCCCTCCTTCTCCACAGCAAAATGTTTGGCAATTGTTTAATGTCAGATGCTCTTCCTGACACAACCTGGACTCGAACCTGCAACCTCGGGATTTTAAGACCACGGCACCGACCACCGAGCTACCGCAGCCATAAAGATGCAGGAAGTGGAGGAGGAATTTAAAAGTGTCGAGCAGTAACTGGACGTCCTGTCTTTAGTTAGGAGCTTTTTGTTTGTTTTTGTTCTGAACAACGTGAAGGTCAAAGTTTCGTGACTTGACAAGCAAACAAAAACACTTCTCTGTAAATGGACAAAACGAGTGAAACCGAGAGGACAAAGCAGCCGAAGTCTTAACGAAAACCATTAAAATACCTCCAGGAAGTCTGGAAATCTGTCCCATCATGACGGGGTTTACAGGAAGGAAGGGAAAAAACAAAGAAGTGGGAAATGATTTAAGAGTTTTGCACAGAAGCGTACGTTTAAAAGTTGTTTTATTTGCATAACCTGGACATCTGACCTCAGATCTGCACCGGCTGCGTTGCTCAACACGCCTTTTCTGTTGACGCGGACCGATAACCCTGTCAGAGCTGCCAACTCGTCACTTGTTGCTGCACGTTTCACGAATACTGTGGGAACGAACGTAAACCCTCAAAATACAAAGAATTCTGTTTAGAAGAATTTACCATTTTGGTCCCAGAATCCTGATTTCCTGCTTGAACCGCCTCCAGCTCTGAGGTACCCCTGACACAAAACATGAAAACAAATTAAAGACCTAATACTCCTTGAATGCATGTCACCCGCCACCTTTCACACCTGACGTTTAGACTAAAATCATCCTACGTTGAGAAATGATGGAGTTGTAGCAATTTGGTCGAACCTTGACTATCACACTCTGCACAATCTTGCATTACATCTTGTTAGTGTTCAGCGTATGTATTGTGAACGACTCTCAGCTACTACCAAGTTAGATTTTAGCTGAATATCTGTAAAATCCTCGTTTTTGTGCAGGCTAAGGTTGGTTTGCTGTGGCGAAAGTCTTGAAGTACGTCGACTCCCAACAGTGAATCGGTTGTAGATGAACATCCAGCGATGACTTTCTGAAAGTTTATTTAAAGTACAGCCAGTAGGTCACGAGATATTTTGCTAACAGACATGAACACGCACGCAGACAGATGAACAAACATTATCAAACGCCTTTGCCTTTCAGCAGCATGTGGTAAAAATCAGGAGTTTTGCCGTTTTTATACAGAAATCAACAAAATACTTTAAACCTTCTGTCATGGTCTGTTTTTCTGTTATTGATGTATCAAAGTTCAGGCTCAATAATCCAGATTAAAAAAATCCAACAAAGTAAAAGTTTAAAAAATCCAACTGTCTAGATGACCTGACTGAACTTTCTTGGGTTATTGATGTAGTTCCTTGAGTTTATCTTTTATTCTTTAGTCTTATTCCCTTCGTGGTTTATGTTTTATTTTCTTCTCTGTTACGTGTTTTCTTGTCAGTTTCAAGTTTTATCCATTTTGTTTTCTTCATTTTTAGATTTATTTCAGTAAAGTCTTGTTCTGTTTCTCAGTGTTCCTTGTGCCATTTCTCATTCATCCCCATCTTCTTCTGTGTTTTTTCAGTTGGTCTTCTACCCTCACCTGTCCCCACCCTCACCTGTCCCCACCCTCACCTGTCCC